CCGTCTGTGTAAATGCCACATTAGCCCTAAGGCCTGACAGCTCAACCTGCCTCGCTCTCCCATCAGTCACCCCCTCACAGTGTGTGTGTGTGTGAGTGTGTGTGGGAATGAAGGCGAAGGATAATTAGAAATCAAATGCAAATATCACAGGAAGTTTTTTTTCTTTCTGAACACCTGTGCAAACTACCACACCCGTCAATGTGTCACACTGTTTGCGTGGGCGGCCCCTACAGTCCGGCCACCTGTCTGCTGCTGATAACGTTATTTTACCATGGTGTGATGTCACTTTTATACGGCTTTCTGATAGTTTATTGTTTGATAAAAAAAAACTTTCTCTGCTCCATGAAGCTGGTTTGACTTCTAAAGTATTACAGGACAGTAGCAGTACTCTGAACTACTCTGTAAGCTACATAACTTACTGCCACTGCAGGGCAAACAGACATGGTCAATTCTGCATGAGTCAGTCATAAAGCCCTCTTTGATTTTGGACTTTTGCCTTTTTACCCTTTGACAGAGTGACAAAGATGATGCAATTAAAAGTAAAAGCAACATGAGAAAAAGTTCTCTCTGAATGAAAGTCTTTCTTCCGCTAGCGTCCCTCTGCCTGACTGATATGTGCCCTGACCTTTGGTGACCTGTGGCCTCTGAGGACGACAAAGAGGGGAAGAGTGGACAGTGGAGGGCAAGTAGAGAGATGGGGGGGCAGATTGTGTGTGTGTGTGAGAGAGCGAGTCCCTACTCTGCTTTTGCCCCTGGGGGTATTGACCGTCTAACTCAAGACAGTGATGTTCTGATGTTTATCAAAATCTAGAAAAAAACATATGCTACTGTCAATAAGGCCTGCCTGCAGTCCTGGTCTATCTATTATATCAGATTTCTGAAACTCTAGAGAAATAAAACAAAACCAAAAGTCCACCACTAGTGAACAAAACCTGGATGGTGAAAGTTAACAGTATAAAATCAGGATTCAGTTTTTATCTCAAATTAGAGTTTGTTATTTGACTGAGAAAAAAAAAGGAGAAGAGAAATGTTGCTATGTGCTATGTGCATTTGCCTGATGGTCCCCAAATGCTGACAACTGCGCTGAGGCTGGTTACCTCTGTGTCATGTGATCTCTGTTCAGGTTTGTTTCACGCACAAAGAGGGAACGAATGAACAAGACGGAGGGTGAAGAGGAAGATTGATAGCCAACAATCTTCGCGGAGCATGTATCATCTGCCGTTGTGACTGTTGCCAAAACACGACGACTGCTGCTTCAGCCTGTTTAAATGTCAGCGCTAATGATGTAGGTTATGCTTCTAATGTAACTAATGTGTTGTTCCTCTGGGGTTTGGTTTCCTGCCCAGGTCAGACACGTGCCTGTGGACCGTGAAGATGGAAGAATGGCTAATTGTTCTCAACCGGCTGTTTGGGCTCAAATTAGAACAAAAGTGGGGGAAAAAAATGAAGTTTGATTTTAATTAGTGGGTGAATTTGATTTCAATTCAAATTTCAAGCCTACTGCTGTAGTCAACCCAAGGTTTAGGACAGATTATTTAACAGGGGCAGTACTTTAACAGACAACTAGTCCTCCTTTGAGGAATATAAATAATTTGTACACTAATCTAATGGATGTTCAAAAACCCAGCTTTTCCAATAACAGCAAGAAAAGTAAGTAATGTCGCGATTTTACAAGAATAAAAACTCTTAGGTTGGTAATTTTTTTGAACAAATTAACAACAACAATCAATGTAATCCCCCACAGACAAAAATGAGTACCAGTTACCAGTTTATGTTTATAAAAAGTCTTTGGGCAGAAAATATAAAATATCAAGTTAACCAAGAAACTGTTTAAAGGTAAATATTACCACAATATTGGAAAAAAATAATAAAAAAAATGGGCAAAAAGTTGCTTAGAGTATGAGCGTGTGTCCTTCAGGTAAGATGCATAAAATATTATTTTGTAAAATTCGTGGGTCAAGTAAAACCTACCCACGTGTCACTAATGCAATAGAGCAGGAAGCAAACTATTGATGTTGCTGCACCACCAGTTGAACACAAACCGCCTTTAAATATAAAAATAACTATGATTTAAACATATAACACAGTCACAGCTTCATTTAGTAAATAGTCAAATCCCTGAACCTTCTCCACACTGAGGAGCCTGACGGCTGACAAACACCGCGTTCACCGTGAGAACACTTCTTCCACTTCAATGCATCTGCATGCAACAGCGCTCGCTTACTCTCTGGAACACTGCCTCACCGGGGAAAACGGAGCTGAGATCTCCTTACGTATTCAAGGAAAAATCATCACGGACCAGGAGGAGATGAGCTGCTGGTCTAATTCCCTCAGGTGATTCCATGCACACTCGTGCATGGCCAAACCATTTTGGGAAATCTCGGCTACATTTCTGGGAGGCATCACTTGGTATTAGTGTCTAAAGGCCATATGTTGGAAAAACATGGAAATATTAAAAAAAAAGTCGAGTTAAATATTCTATAGAAAAGCTGCAGGCAGCAAGCAACAGAAGTGGGTAACTTCCTGTGTGACCCTTTGACCTGGGCCAACGTTTGTCGCTGCCCTGAATATGCCACTGACAAATTCAATTATTGTACTGTCTGTAAAATAAATTAGCACGGTTGAAAACTAGTTGAACTTGTTTAAGTTTTTTCTCACTTATTAAATGGTAAAAATGACTCAGGACACAGACGTCAGCTTTGACTAGAGGGAAACTGAGTCACACACCATAAAGAAGTCAGCAGAGAGAGAAAGAAGCCACTGGTTATTAACCAAAGTGCTGACAACTTCCTCGCTGCTCTCCTTTCCAATTTTACCAGTTGTGTACAAGAGGCCTGGTTCTCAGACGTGTGAGTCTCAAGTGGCTCAGGGCTGGATGGTTTACTCAGGGTGTTGATTCTGCTGGGAACTGAAGGATAGGATGTCAGCTGCTGCTTCCTGCTCCAGCCAGGAACAGGAACTGGCTGTGCTCCATTGTGTGACAGTGTGTTTGTCCATATCCGTGTGTGTGTGTGTGTGTGAGCGTATGCTTCTAGACAGAGGACTGGGCAACAAGCCCAGGTGCAGCAGAGCCCAGGTGTTTCTCTATGATGAACACAATGAGCACGTGCAAACATGGAGGGACAGGCAGGCAAATGGAGAGGGATCCAGCCCACACCTGTTGAGCACCTGCACTGTCTGCCTATGACACAGATTACAGTGTATTTGTGTAGCATCACACACACACACACACACAAACACTGTAAAGGAATATTACTGCATCATCTTCACTATTCTACTTTTATGTCTCTTTGTGTTCTAAACTTTTCTCTCACCTCCCCTCACCCTCTCTGCCTCCCTCCGCTCTCCCACCAAGCTCTTCTGTCTCTGTGTCATTAGGCAGCACATCAGGGATTAAAAAAAAGCAACGGGAGGACGAGAATCGCAGCGGAATCCACTAAGTCTGACATTACCACACACCTCACAAAACACGGGGGAGTTTCTAATCTGCTGCACAGCACAATCCTGCTAATGCATTCAGATCTGTCACAGAGCAAACACAGGTTGGCAGAGAATTTAATATTCAAGTATTAATGATAAGTTTACCGTGGGAGGGCTGAGGGTGTTTTTTTTACATAAAATCCGAAGCTAACTGCTATTTTCCTGACAATCCAATAAGCCCAATAAGCCTACTGGACAGTGATGGGTGACGTCATTGTCCAATAGGAACCTGGCTACAAACAACCATGTCAGACAACGTCCTGAAATCACCAGGATCCATTTGGACAGTCCTGCAGCCAATCACACTGGGTGTCCAACATTATGTGCCAACTCACATCACATATTATGTCCAATTAAATTCCTATGTCTGCACAGGACTGTAAATTTCAATTATATTATATTTTATTATAAACTGTTTACTTGTGTTTTCAATCTCCTACAGCAGTGATCATCAACTGGAGGCCCATGGGCTGAAACCCTGTCGTCTGGCCCTCAAATAAATTCCAAAATTGTGAAGATCAAATGGAAACCAGAATTTGTCTGTTCAATTTCAGTCCCTCAGACAAATATCGTTTTTGACCCCTGCTGTATGAGGCAAACGCACATGTAACGTTTACTGCAAGTAACTCAAGATATTACTGAGCAACAAACTTTTTAAAATAAAATCATACCATCAGTAGACGGGGAATCCAAAATTTTAGCTCAACAACATAACACTGATGACGGTGAAGGGAGTGAAATCAACGTACGTTTCAGCTGAACTGTAGGAGTGGATGTAAAGTCGTGGAGGCAGCAAATCAATAAGAAGTGACGACTGACAAGAGTGTGTGAGGACATGAGGGACAGAATGTGTGAGGGCAGCAGTAGTCCTCGGCCTACTTTGTGACATGCATCATCAGTCCTGTCTCCTCACTACATCTCCCTAATGGTAACACAACGGTGTGTGTGTGTGTGTGTGAAACTGCAGAAGCAATGAACCTCCTAGAAAGAGTGACTTGCAGCAGCAGGAGTGTGTGTGTGCACGTGTGTGTGTGGTAGAGATAGGGACTAAATGAGCTCCTGGCGGGACTGACCCTCCCTGCTTTTCACCAGTCCGTCAGAGAGACTGAGCGCTCCAGTGGAGCGTGGACAGAGGCATGGTTCTGAATATTGAAAACACACACACACACACACACACACAGTCGAGGCTCCATAAGCCACAAATTACACAAAAACTGAGCTTTTAGAAACGGAAAAAACACGCCATACTGTCACGTGACATCACCCTGCATACAGAAAATGTGACAAAATACTGAAACGTATTTGTTTATATGGAAAGCAAAGAGAAAGCCCAGTGTGAAGTATTAGCTCAAGGATCATAATTATAATTATTATGGTTCTTACACATGTCCATACAGTAAAGACTACTTCATGATGCGTGGTGTATGTATGGAGGTGCGGCCATGTTGGGTGTTTTGTGTGTGTTTTTTGTTGCGTGAACATGTTTTCTGGGCTGAGTGTAATTATTCTTGGTGACATACCTCACATGACTAATGAGAGAGATTTGGGAGCGTGGCGTGGAGCTCATTTGTCACAGGTTGGTGGGTAAAGCTTCAGTGCGTCTGGCTTCTACGGTAAAGTGGTTAAGGTCGCAGTAAATGCTCCGGCGCAGACGCCGCTGCCGCTCCTGCCGCTGCCTGATTAATTCCCTCTGTTTGACTTCCTGCAAAACACAAGTCAATTGGCAGGTATGTCACATGGCATGTAAACTGACGTCACGCTTGTGGACTTGAGTAAACGTCTAAATATCCAGACTACTGCTGTGTGTGACGTCATGCAGCGTCTCAACTATGAGCGCCGTGTGGCTGACTTCAGTTTCACACACAAACACACACGAGCTGATTTGTTTCTAATCAGGGAAGGTCGTGACACAACACCAACACCAGTGAAGTCAATGCAAGTTAATAACCCATCACTGATGGAACAGCCCTGTGAAATAAACCCATCTATGGGGGAACGACGACAGGCTTTTGGACCATTAAAGAAAATTGTGGCTGGGATTTTTTTTAATTCATTAACTTTTAAGACTGAACGTAACGACTACACCTGCATTTAACAGCTAAATATAAACCTTTAGGAACAGACAAGGATAAAATATCACTGGTAATTAAAGTTAATGTCAAGGTGTTATCTGGAGTACGCACGACCTGATCAGCTGTGTGGAACCCCTTGTTTCAGATAATTTAATATTTGTGATTATTCACATTACTCTTTCACATATGATAGATGGACAAAGATTTTTTTTATACATGAAAAAACCTTCACACCATACAGAAAGACCATTTGTTAACACCGAGGATTGAACCGCAAACCT